TACTATGATTATAAGATAAGCTAATGTGAAGGGAGAATACTCAAGCGAAGAGCTAAATAGGAATAGGATGAAACTAATACCCACCCGTCCGACTTGAGTAGAACCAGTGAAGGCGATGTGCCGAATGCGTGGGTCCGTGCAAAAGAGTCTTCCAATCTGTGCCCGACCATCGTCCATGTCTCCGGTGGCAGTGAGACAACTGAAGAGGCCAGCCGGAGCCAAACCCGCTTCGTCGATAGCCAGGCGAGCAGCCAAAAGCCCAGAAAGAGGAGCATCTTCAGCCACCTTCAGCACGGCGGCACAGCCAGCGGCTAGAGCAGCACCAGCCTTTCGAGTAATCATGGAGAGTGGGAAGTTCCACTGGGGTAAAATGAATAAAGGGTAGATATGAGGACCAAGATATTCTGGCCTCTATGTATAGAAGTGGTCTGACCTCGTCCTCGCAACTTGATCGTGTTGTCAGGGTGACCTAGTTAGACGCACTTTGTCCGAAATTTTCTGCTATAGTAGTTATCATAATTCTCAAGTCACGCTGATAACATGACCAAGTTGCGAAAACGAGATCAGACCATTCAAAGGTAGTTGGCAGGACGTGATTATTGGCTGGGAAATCAAGAGAGATGAGTAAGCAATGAGGCCTACATAAACCAAATTCGTAAGAGCTACGGATCGAAATTGCTCAATGACAATTGAGCATGATGTGGAATAAAAGCTATCGTCTCGAATAATAATATGAACTGAGCAAGAATGCTCTGCATTAGAGTATAAAATTTTTTAGACAAACAGACAATGATTTTCATGTGTAGCGGAGTGGAAAAAGGGGGACTAAATCAAAATGAAAGGCCATGCCCAAGAATTCATAAAAACGGAATCTAAAACCGGTGGTGAAGGTGATTATGCTTCGATAAATCTATTTGGGGCGACATTGGAGTAAACGAGAGAACATAATCGTGTGGATTGGTAGAGGAGCCACATGAAGTGGGCTTGAAAAAAAGAGATGAAGCACTATAGGGAAGAACGAGAAATAGGGGTGAGGAGTGATACCACAATGGTTGAATACAAAAATGATCAAGGGGATCGCCTTTATTTGTCAATTCGATAAGGTGTAACTTTGTGCAGACGATGGCGTCTTTCACTCACGATGGCGGCGAAACGTCTAGAAAAGTGCCGAGTCAACAGTCTGATACAGGAAATCACAAATACTAAGGTAAAGTACGCAGGACTAGATATGCTCGACCAAGTTGCGAAAACTAAATCAAGCCAACAATATACAGCTACAAGAGACTGCGACCGAAAAGGAGGTCACATCATTTTGATCTTTATATCTACAATCTGAAAAGTTTTAAAGTA